ACAACCGATTACATTTGGAAATCCAAATTTCTCCAATGGCATAAAACCTTCTTTAACAGTTTGAAGTTTTCGGCAATCCGTCGGGAATTGAATAACTTGTCCCGCAAAACTAGCCAGTGCATTGGAAACATTCTTCACTGCTCTGGAAACGCTGGGTTGACTGAGTCCTAAAATGTCCCCAACCACTTGCTGGAAAGAACCAGTTGCATAATACCTCAAAGCAGCAAAAGTTTGTTCCTCAGGCGTAAGGGCATGAGATCTTTTTGTCTCATGTGACACATCCTTTCTTACAATGTCAATGACATCCATCAAACAATGTCTTGTCATTCGATAGCGGGAAAGAATTTCCGCGTCGTCATACGCATCCAATGGATTTAGCCTATCCCTAAAGATCCTGTTCTTTCGAATTTTATTTTCTTCTAAAATTGCTTGTAATAACGCCATAATAGAGAGAACAATATGACGTAGTTTGTACATGTTTAATGACGTCATAATAACCCTTTGAGGAACAATAGTTTTTGGCGCAACCGACTGATTATAATGAATCTTTGGTTATATCGAAGTATTTTCTATGTTCCACAGAGTTCGAGATAACGAAATTTGACTGTATTTTTATTCTGTTGCTTCACAATTGCTTAGCATTCAATTCTTATCAACCATCAAAATATATAATGAAAGGAATAGTCAATAGATTTATTTTCATCGTTGGACTCATGAATGTAATTGACTAGAGTTATTGTTCGAAGAAATTAAATGACATGTTGCTCACACAAATTGAGTGAATGGTATCATAATTAAACCGAAGAGAGCAATTCTTCAGAAAATATTAGATGCAATAAATTCATGTAACTGGTTGCTCTTTTACAATGTTCGGTGCATTGGTGCAATTTTTGATACATGTGCCATTTTTTCATTTGAATAAAGAAAGCAACATTTCCATTTTACGCATGTCAATTCCAAAAATTCTTTTATTATTGAAATCAAGTTTTAAAATAAAGCGTGTCAACATATAGAATGGAAGATATCATAATTTTTTTGAAAAGAGTAGATATCTTTAAACAGATTTTTTTTTTTTTTGATACATGGTATACTTCATTACACTGTCATGTATTTGAGTTTAAGGTCTTTTTGACCCTCCATACAACCCGCTCTAAACGGGATTGGTTGACGTTTAATCATTTTTATGTCGTCAATTTCCATTTGTATTCATAATGTATAGATATTATATACATGATGTAAAACTGAGTGTAGCTATCAGCAAGACAAAGGGAACATTCCCCAGCAAAACAGCACACTCTGATTCTGTCAGTTTCGTTTTTATCCCACGGAAAAAGTTAAAGTTTACATTTATTTAGACATTTCAACGTATTTCCGATACATACAAAAAACAATGAATGAAATACTTAGTCAAAACAACAAGTAAAGTGTAAGTTAAACCACTGTAAATGCCAGTCGCCAACAAGGTGCCCTTTTACCGGATACTCTAACGTATCCGTTAATTTTCTCCGGTAGCCATGGTAGCGGAAGACTTAACGCAAACGTTAACGGATGCGTTAAATAACGGGTGTTTCGAGAATACCAAATAATTTTACGGAAACATTAGCGGTGACTTTAACGGACCCGTTATCTAACGGATGCTTTGTGAATAAGGTCCCAGGAGTCGGACTCGACGTGACTCGATACGAAACCCGGGTTCCAGAAGAAAACGCTCAGGCCAAAATAAAAAATACCTTTGTTTCCCCTAACGCGACCGACCCAACTAAAACGCGCCGACTGAAAAGATTTTTTTAAATAAGATGATGCAAAATTTTTTTTATTGTCAACCAAGTTTTATAAAATACAATTTCATCAAAATCAGTTTTTATCAGAACGACCTACATTGTTCTACTGTGATTTTCAAGCATTTGATGGAAACAAAATAGCGCCCAGATGTGATTACGGAGAAGTTCTTCATAAAACAACGGCGATGTCTCAATCTTATGCCTTTTGCTAACTAGAATTCTTCACTCTTGAAACAATTTGATAATAAAATTTACAATGACTAATTAAGAGTTTCGGAGGTGTCTTGGTGTCTCCATGTGAGTGAATAAATTTTCGAAAGGGACGGTAAACAACGAACAAACGAATCTGTTTGCTGAATTTCAGGTACGTAATACATGGAAAGGCCAGCCTCATGAGCAGATGAGGGCCCACCTAGTGAACACATCATTCAATTTCACTGCATTTTATTTAATTGGAGTTTTGATCTGATAAACAATTTATCTATGTTCCTATGTTAACTTTATGCCATTATGGAATCATAGGAGTTGGTAAATATCTCTGCATATTCATCCTGATAAATATAATTCAGTTGTACTTTTTCATGCCTTCATTTAGGGGTCAAACTGAGTGACTATGACATTGTTTTATATAGCATTTTTCTCATTTGTAGATTCGGTTTGGTTCATTTAAATATTGTTTAAATACTCTTTTCAAATAGTTTTGAAATCATAATTCAACTTCCTGAGACGTCCAGTGTCATTTTCTTTAATTAGGCCCTTAAAGATTGGTTGTTTCTTTGCTTTTAATCCCTTCGAGATTTGTTGGGACATTTGAACATTTCTCCATTGCTCCAAATTTAGATGTACTACGCACTTTTTTGCCATTAAGCAGTGGGATCTTTTGGGGCCGGCATCTTCTACGACACTGGACAAAAGTTTTTATGGTCCCTTTTGAAGGACCGTTTTCAACGTTCCTCATTGGTATTTAAACCTGCGACTTAAAATTAGCCACTTGTGTCTTAACTCTAAAGCAAAATGCTTTAGAACCGCTGCAAATCTCATGGCCCTCAAAAAGTACAATGACAGTCTATAAGCACTGGAGGGTGATTGAAGGTTTTAAAAAATATACTCGGATGTCCAGTCTTTGCGTATTTGAGAATCTTGTCTTTTTTTATTCGATTTATATAAATGTACTCTGGCATGAGATATTTCACAAGTTCATCTAAACTACAGTTGTGAATTAATTAATAAGGATTTTTACTTTTAAACGGCATATGTATGATACTTAGGATTTGTTCACAAATCACTTTCTTTTTTACTTTTCTTATTTATAAATGTAATTTTCCATTAAATTTTAGAATGTATTTTCAAAGCTGCTGTCAGAAAATAAAATTGTTTACCTACCTACCGACCGAATTTGAGAATTTAGGGTCGGGTTAGGGGAAACAAAGATATTTTTAATTCCGGCCTCATTATGTGATTTGGAAAGTAAATATTAATTAAATTGTAGTATAACAATATGAGGAAGATGAATGTGGGTACACGTAAGATATGTTATAATATAACAGTTACAAACTGTAGAACACCGCCTTTGTCTTTTTACATTAAAAAGAAATCAGTAGTATAGCTCGAATTTCCTCTAATCACCAAATCTCACTTGTACATGTGGGTCTACAGCTGGCATCGGTATTAAAAATTATGAGTTAATGTAAGTATAAGTATAGGCTAGGCTTCAATTAATTTGCTTTGAATGCATGGCTTTGGATTTTAGCATGGGACACCCCCCCCCCCATAAAAAGGGGAAAAGGGGGCTGCAACTGAAGTTCAAAAAATAACCCACCCCCAAGAGAATATGGACCCTTCCTCAAAAACACAGATCCATTTGTAATTGATATGAAAAGTCACTCGAGTCGAATGATGTTTTAAATGTCGACCACCAACATTTTAGGGGTCTTATTGACTTCGGTTTTCCAACATCAGCTAACTTTTTAGGTTTATTAAATAAAGAGTCCAGTTTTGTCTTTTTTTGTAACTCATTACGGCTAAGACTTGACATCTGCTTATGCGGTGAAGAAATCTATATCATTGGAATAAATATCTGATAGTGCACATGTAGCAAAGCTCGATCTGTAGTACGCAGATTCTTCTTTCGAAGCCCCGTCCCCTTCCCCACATGGAAAACCCTTGCTACAGGCCTCTATCATATGAAGTCTTTAACTTTCACTGTTCAAAAGTTATGACAAAGATTGAAGTTTGCAGAAAAAAGCTCTTTTTAGCGAATAGGTCACAGTCAAAGAAACAAGATAAAAATTTAATAAACCTTGTTGTCATTTGAAAGAGCTTAATTAGTGGAATGTGCATACCAAACATTGAAGTCTCTATCTATCATAGTTCAAAAGTTATGGCAAAGGTTAAAGTTTGGCTAGTTTGCAGACAAATCAAAAAACATGCATGCAGACAGACAGGACAAAAACAATATACGGATCGATCCGCTGCATAAAAAACTTTGAGTTTTACAACTCACTTTGACCTACTTTACAAGGAATACCCTGGACAATTTAATATAAATAATGACTTTTGAATTTTGAGTGGCTGATGTTGATATTAATCAACATTTATACATGCATGTTTAATGGGCTCATAATACGTACTGTTCTTTGAAACTGTATGATATTCAGTAAACCACACAAACTCATATATATTTAAATATTATGAATACACATCGGAATCAGGATCCCACAACAGATCCTTTAAACAGTTTAAAGAGACAATTGGTGTAAAATAAATACTTTGAAACACATACGACTAAAGCATTCCAACTATTCGACTACCGGTAAGCTGTCTGAGTAAAATTGACATCTCTGTTATAGACCTATTGATCAGTGCAATATCAATTGATATTGATCATAGTTATTCAACTGCATCAACATTTTTTGTCCTTTTGTTTGATCTTGTTAGGGGTGTGCAATATTACCGGTATATCGGTATATTGCGGTATTCTCCACCACGATAATATATCGCGATATGAAAATCAGATACCGGTATTTCACGATATGTATAAAAATATATAAAAACCTCCTTCATTGTAGAAACTACTGAAATAATACTTGTAACTACCTCAGGCTTTTTCAATCTCGTTAAAACAATACTTCGTCAGCTTTCAGAGAAAGAGATAGAAAGAGTTCAAGAGAAAGAGAGAGAGAAAAGAGAGAGTTTAATTTACTGTTGCAATTTTAAATATCTTACTTTAAATATGATTTATAATTAATTATAAGACTTTAAAATAAAATTAATAGGAAAGATAATATGTTAAACATTTCTACAGGGTGTATACCAAATGTATTGTGGTTCTCAAAATCTCGCATCGAATCTACATGATTGACATCGCGATGAAATGTCAAGTTCAATATACATGTTCATATTACAAGTAAATGGTCATCCGTGTTTTAACTTGAAGAAGTGTTGCTCTAATTATTTTTTTATAACTTTCAGGCCATTTTAAACACCTTCATGCTATACCATGAGCATATTTATTAAATCACTAGATACAGGCCATTTCCTGATCGTTTGTCATATGTGAAATTAGGTCGGGTTAGACATGTTAGACTAAAACACCAAAACGCTCGAAAAATAAGTCAAAATTTCTTTCTGGCTTTAATTTTATTCTGTAAATACAATAATTTT